GCTTTCATGCCCTGATTGTTCTGTGGCCAGCGGGACCATGAGTCCATGACATCTGGACTTTCGTTTGGGCCTAGTGATATGGAAACGTTTTCTATGCACGTTTTAATTGGAGAAGCTACATTATGTTTAACGAGCCTGTAAATACGACCAAAGTTTCTTTAATCGTCCACAGTCTTATTTGCCCAGTCCATTATTTTCTTATTAATCAATAAAATATTATTGTCGATAATAATAATTATTTCTTGGTTATTATTTTACACTTCAATGAGAAATAATAGGCGCAGATTGAATATAGTCATATTATTTATTGAAAAAATATTTATGAGAAAAAATATACAGGAGACAAGTTTAATGCCATAAAAGAAAAATATGATTTATTACTATTTTTATCCACTTGGATTTTATTGATGCTCCATTTTGATATAAACTTTCATAAATGTGCCGGAAATTGTTGAAATTTATCGGACATCGACAATTATTGGACGTTGAAAGGGGTAAATTTCCGCCGTTTGATCACCACTATATATTCAGGGATCAATACCCTAACATTTTCACTGGAGCCGAACCATCCGAAACGTCTATACAATCAATTGTGTTGCATTCATTTTCATCCAGACAAACCGTTAACTTCACATCAGCAATGCTAGTTCCCATTTAACTTTCATTGTATGGGCCGTTGTAATTTTCTTAAAACGTAAAACTATCAGTAAAGGCAGTCACGTCGTCCTAAAGAATGTTATTGTTGCCCAGCTTCGGCAAAAACTCTTTTGTTAACGTGTTTGCTTTGGCTATTGATCTGTTTTACATGATGAATGAATGACGTTTTTATAGTCTGTTTGCTATCTGACAATACATGTGTTACGGTCACGATTAATATTCTCATCGGTATCAATTTCTTGTGTTTGGACATTGCTTGTGCGATCTAAGATGCTCTCATTCCGCCATATTTGCGTGTATTTAGTTTCAAAGCGTGTAGCGAATTACAAATTAACAACCGAAGCAACCTCGTTTGTGATAGCAGCTATTACTTGATAGCTTCCTGAAGTATCACTATCGTCGATACTATCACGATTATCATTAATCGCATTCATAAGTCCATTCCGAATACGGATGTCATCGTCAGCTGATCGAATCGATTTGACATCGTTCAAGTCATTAACCTCACAATTCTACGTCTTCGTACTGCTCTGGTTTCTGTCAAGGTATTGTCAACCCCGAAAGATCGACGTTCTTGTTCCAAAGCAGAAAGGTTTAATATCCGCTGTTAATTTCGCAGATTCTTGGAAGTAACGGAGTGTATAAGTTGTGTTTGCGTTTATTTTGGTCCAACTTCAGTTCCTCGGCAGTGCAAATTGCGATTTATGTTGGTCTGAAATTAGGTTTTCGTTCAGGTCGGTGCATTTAGGTATCTAAAGATTCTCAAAATTTAAAAGGATTTTGATATTCATACAATTGTGATATTTAGTGGTTGGATACATTATTTATGCTTTGGGGCTTAAACATTCATTAAAACCTTTATGCACCGCCTACTCTTGTTTCTGCTAGGCTCGAAGGAGAATACCATATGGCATTTGGTTCACCTTTTGTACCCTATTCGTGCCAGTACTATGAGCAATGAAGTTTTAAATAAGCAACATAGCGTAGATTTATAGAACATCATACTACAAAATTATAGTAGAGCCAAACCATGGATTCTCCCACGTCATTTTTCAATCCACATGGCAAATTACAATCAACATTAAATAGGTAATTATTTATCAATTCCCTCGGATTGGCCTGTTAAAAAAACTAGTAAATGATCCGTCAATTTTACTCTATGAATAATAATGACATCTACCCATAGATAATTTTGATATACGTAGCATAATACTGCTACTGGCTACAACTTGGGATTATAATGGCAATTTATTCTAAGTATCTTTTTATTAGGAAGTTAGTTGGAATATTGCGATATCATGTCGGTTTTATTCAAAGGTCGCGGGAGAAAATGTATATCTAATAGCTAATCACATTTAAAATAGTAGTGTTTTATATTTAGTGTTTCTTTTTAATAGCACGGACAGTCAGCATTAGTCTGTTGCAAAGCAGTTATAAGTTTTTGCATCTATTCAGGTACGAAGGAGACAGCCAGGATAAAAGTAATTAGATAAAGGTATTAACATGACATCACACAATCACAATTCACAATTGAATTAGTAAAAGTAATAGAAAGAAATACTGACTGAAATTGCTCAATCTGACGATTGTTGCTAGCTTGTTTCCAAAGGTCTGACACGGTTCCGAGGACCTATCACGTTGTGCATCGCTAAACGGCGCCGGCGCATCTGAATGTCAAATGTGAACAAGGTCAACTATGTTTGCCAAGAGAACTATGGAGGATAGGGATATTGTTCGGAACTTTTCATGTTAAAGGTTACTCGAAAGTTTACGAAGAATAAGGGCCAAATATTATAGCAGAGTAGAATCTCCACCACCTCCACACTTCGATTGGATTTAGAAATGTTCATATTGAAGTAAAAGATGAAGACATAATCATCATCATTTCAGCCATAGGACGTCCACTGCTGAACATAGATAGACCTCCCCCAATGACTTCCACATCGCACGGTTGGTAGCGGCCTGCGTCCAGCGCCTTCCTGCTGCCTTTATCAGGTCAGGTCAGGTCAGGTGTAAGATGAAGACAACCAAGCTAAAAATCTTAAATCAGAAACCAGGCCATAGCCTTCGCTCGTCCCGTGGATGTTGTAGAAAGCAATCTTGGGAGAAATATGCGAAAATCTGGCTTTTTTAACCCGTCTTGCCAGCGTGGGGAGTGTAGCCCAAATCTTCCATTATCCTCCGGTAAAATAGCTCCATTTACTTTAGATAGATTCGAGAGGGTCGTGCTCCTAAAATCACCTGATTATGTGATGTTGAAAGTTTAATAAACTCTAGCTTGATCATGATTACTTATATTCTAGATTTCTAGGCTTTAAGATTATGAATTCCTTCAATCACCGTCTACTCATAGGCTTGTGATTATTTAGCACCAGCCTCTAATCTACATCTACTGGTACTTGTACTGGTCTTGCTAGATTAGTTGAGGATTTCTCGAGATTGCTTAGTTCGTCAAGCAGGAATGTCGGAATTGCATCTAAGTCGAATTAAACCACAGCCATAGCTGAGATGAAGCAGCCAACCCAATGTAGAGTTAATACTTTTTCGCAACCATATTTTACTAGAATATAAGGTTCAATTGGTTATTGCGGTAATCGTTATTTAGAAAGCAGGATCATTCTGCAGATATTATGATGTTACAACTCAATTATAGGCGAATTGCTGTCTTTAGCTTAGCATCATCATTTTAGTCAACTGCTAGACGTGAGCCTCCAATGAGGATCGCTACAAAGTACGATCTTCTACTTTTTTCACCCAGCCTCTGCCACAGTATTATTGTGATAGACTGAATAGATGAATATGACCGTATATGATAATCGCAAACAATACCAACATGGCTTGTTTGTATAATGTGGTATGGCTGCTCTATTCTTGCTGTATCGTAAGTACCATTGGCCACGTTTCCTCATAGCATAACTATATTGATCCTGGATCGCGGCCAGCCGCTGTACGATGACCTGACGATACACTTTCTCTGAATTTTGATTAGCTATGATCGATCTATTTGTAAACGAAATTGCAAGTGCTCGTTTCATTCTTTTTACTAGGCCTGTACAAATTTGTTTTTAAATTCCAATTTGATTCATCTCTCGGATCTAAGATAGCGTTATTATTTAACGCCCCCAATGGAATGGTTAGCTCTACTTATGGTGTTATTAAGTTGTTTTTGGCTTACTAATAAACTTTTTTATAAGTCTGACTGACTGTCTAGAGAGAAAGACTAATAGAGACCCCAAGCAATTTTAGAGTACCCACGACTTTATCACAAATCAATCCAGGTCCAATTTGTATCGACTCATGTAAAGGCACATGAGGTACGGTGGTATTTTAGTTAATAGACCTGCTCGATGGTTTGGAGCATATCTATTTCTTCTAGAATTCCTGATTGCCTTCTCAATCGGGTTAAATAAAGAGATTTCCACGTGAAATAATCAACTATTATTATGTATACTCTGAAAAAAAAAAGAAAGAAAACCAATAAGGTGCCCTTATCATACTGTTTGAAAGTATTACTCTACTAGCAATACCTTGTTATGGCAGTTAGTCAAGTAAATATGTCTTACCAGTTCGAATACTCCAATTCTACTTACCACAAGTTCATCAACCACCTCGCCCCTATTAACTGATGGTATCTCACTGTCCATAGCATGTAATTACCCATTGTCAGTAACAACTTAATTAGTTTTTTTCACATCGCTCGTTTTGATAACATCGTCTTGGTATATGCCGTGATCAGTAATGATTACACTTCCAACGTCATGATGGAATTTAAGTGAAACGTTGATGATCTTATTATAAAATTATTACCTGTATGATGTATTCCGATTTTTATGACCACAGCTTGTTATTCTAGTTAACTTTACACAATTTTAATTTTAATTATAGATTCAATTTCGTAGTGAACCACGTTCTGAATGTTAGTAGGTAACACATTTTAGTCTACTCAAACCAAAAACTAAGAAGAAGAAAATTAAAATGTTTTTCTTGAGTTCTACCATTTACATTACTTTTAGTAAGTAATTTTATGTGTAGGTCTAACATCTACGTATACGTAATTTATGACGCTACTTTTTTGAAGCTTTGCTCTTAGTTTTTTGTCAATTACTAATCATTCTTGTGCAAATGTTTTTTGGAATCCACTTTTGATCATCTTCTATCAGCTATACAATAGGCCTTTGTCTGAAATTGACATCAGCCCCATCGCATTATACACTAAATTCTTCATGGTATAGCATCGTTAAATTGGTGCTCTGATCAGCAGCACTGATTCATCCAGCTCTCCCAACTAGTTCCTAAGACATTCCATCTTTCTCTACCATACTAACAAGTGCCTTTCTTTCCAGATATCAGACATAGTCGTGGGCCAAGAGCCCAACGTGACGGCCCGAGAGGCGCTCCTGAGCTGGGCCCGGCGATCCACCGCCAAGTACCCTGGCGTCAGAGTGACGGACTTCACCTCGTCATGGCGAGACGGGCTTGCCTTCAACGCGCTCATACACAGGAACCGCCCTGACCTGATAGACTGGCGTAATATCAGGTAAGAGATGAATCCAATCTCCGTGTATCCCATTTTTTTGTGGGCTGTAATAGCTCACCCAACCCTAGTACGTGTATCATAAGCGTCACGTTGGTCCATTTGTTAAAGTGTGTGTCGTAAATGGCAATTCTATTCAAAAGACCTTTGAGTTAGACCATTTATGACTGGATATATTTTCCTGCGTCGAAATTCGTACTTTTTGAAGTATTCCCACTTCAAAAGCTAACTCAAAGTTAACTCAAAGTTAAATAGACCATTATTTAACTTTAGTTCTTCCGGATTTGACAATTTAGTTCAATCCAAAGGTAGTTTACTTAACTTAAATTGAAGATATACGGTCGCACGTTCCGTTGCTTGCTTTTCTGTTACGATCTCATATACTTATTATCTCATACATATCTTAGCTGTCGTTTATACTGGGAAGAATTCTGCTCCATTTTAAGACAAATACTTTCTACAAACTCCAGTTTATCTTTGAAATACCTACTCTTAAAGAATGGTAATTAATTCGCAAATGCATTTCTGAACCTTGACTTGATTACGTGCTTTGTTTGTTTTAAGCACTACAAGGGACAATTTCCTTATAAGCATACTAATAATAAATAATAGTTGCGGCATTCTTTGGAATGTCCCATGTCGGAATTCAAAGAATGTTTTAACAACTATTCTGAAGTCTGATAAAAACTTCGTTGTTGAAGTGAGATGGATGTGGAAGGTATTTCAAGTGGATGAACTTGGATTTGAAAGGTTTATTTTAGGTATATCCGTTTTAAAGCATATGAGCTTTGACTTTCACTGGTTGGGTTTTTATTGGCGGTCAAGCTGTAGATCCTGGCTACACAGGTGTTGCAGCGGTGGGAACGAGAGGTGGGAATATTCCCGTTTAGCATAATGTAAATAGTAATAAGTATCTTTTGACGACGCTGACTCCAATCTTTACCCCAAAATAAAGTTGCAACGTAGATTAGAGGCACTTCTACACTGTGTATGGTTAAGAAAAAGTAACTATAACTTCTGAAATGTTATGTTTATTTTCAGGTCAAGACAAGTTCGTGAGCGCTTGGAGACAGCATTCCATGTAGTAGAAAAAGAGTACGGAGTTACCAGACTGTTAGATCCCGAAGGTGAGTTTAATTTGTGATTTTATCTTAAGTACAATAGGTACTTCTAGCATATCGAAATTCTTATTCCTTGGGAAGGCTCATTCCCAAAGATCCATAGCATGTTCTAGAAGTCAACTGGTCCTCTATACTGGGACTAGACTGAATAAAAGTAGCGTTTTTAGAGTTTTTCAGTCATCAGTATCAACCTATATTACCTACTTATTTGCTCAGTGGCTTAAATATGTAGTTCAAGTACTGTGTGGATTAGTATAACTCTGTTATAATACTTCCTTAATATTTATAAAGAAAACCGATCCAGTTATGCAATCATCTAAAAATACATTCGCTTTCTATGAAAGAAGCCGACTTTCCAATTATCATTTTCGCGAAAACTTTTACACTCGTATTTTCGCTTTTTTCAGGCATTTTTATTCGTTTTTAGGGTTCTGTACCCAAAGGGTAAAAAACGGGTACTTATTACTAAGATTTCGTCTGTATCAGGCTGTACCTCATGAACGTGATAGCTAGACATTTAAAATTTTCACAGATGATGTATTTCTCTTGCCGCTTATCTGAGAACAAATACTAAAAATAAAATAAAGTAAACATTTAAGGAGGCTCTCATACAACAACAAAATACGTACGGAACCTTTCGTCCACGAGTCCGACTCGCACTTGGCCGGTTTTTATTTCAATTTTAACGCATTCACAAGGATTGTGACCCCATTTCGGCTGCATGACTCTTGCTCTCTGACAGAGTTTATAGCTCTGAAAATCCGCGTTATTTTTTGCAACTTTGATCGTGACATGTTTTTAAAATTAGCATGCCTTTAAAGTGTGAAATGCCGACAGAAATATATTCAGGTTTAAAAGCAGCAAGAGCTCTTATAACCTAAATATTAAGGTTAAGATATTTGTTAGTATATTTTCATTATGATCTTCTACAAAAAGTCTTCAGGTAAACTCTGCCAAAACACGGATTCACGTATTAACACAAAATAATTCTTCAATTTGTAGGTCCAATCTAAGAATCGAATCCAGGATCTTCGAATTTTTAGATCACCCAGAAACTAAGTTCTAGACCACAAAGCTGTATATTGACGATAATGACGTCATATCTCGCTAAAACGCTTCTCTCTCATGATTGGTCCAGTCCGTGTCGGTCATTGACACATTGACAGCTGGACAGTGTGACGTGCTCCCTAGGGTGACAGTTTAATGGACCCTCTTGACATTTGACAAGTTAATTGTATCACGCGCAAGCTTAATGGAAAGCTGGGACTTTCGTGTTTGTTACTTAGTTTAAAAACTTTAGGACCTAAAAACTATTAAATATTAGCTGGAGACAGATAATAGACATTATTTACCTACTTAAAAGGTCGTTTTTCTTTTCTTTGCCATTTTTTAAAGGAGGGGTTAGTCTATGACTTAAGAGATCCATTCGATCTACACACACAAAATCGTGGGCACAGTTAGTCTTTCTTAGAGTAGGCGCACACCGTTGATTTTTCGTCGGCCGATAGTTTAGTCGGGCAGTTGATCAGTATGGGCATGTATAGGAGTGCGCACACTACGCCGATTCGATTTGGCTGATTCTTTATACAATTTAAAATCGGGCACAACTATCGGCCAACTAAAAATCAACGGTGTGCGCCTACTCTTAATAGTGTAGGCTGTGGTGCAAGAATTTATCAGTTTCCGTAGGTGTAAAAACGATTAATTATTTCGATTGATTAACGCAAGACCACTTTTTATCAGTGTTAATGGAAAACTACAAAATCCCTATCCTAAAAAATAACCTAGGCTTTCAATAACAAGTTTTCCCGGAAAACGCCGATATGGGATAGGCCTCTCTTACTGGTTATTCGAGCACATGTTACGTTAGAAAGTAAGTTAGTACATTTGGTATCTATTGCACTAGCGGCTTGCAGTGACTTATTAAAAATCTCCAGATGGACACCGCCCAATTTGCTAATAAATAGTACACTCAACGGTTCAAAAAGCGAAAAATCATCAAATATTCAGTCTCACAAAATATAATTGGCCGTCTGGTTCTTCTACACATCTCTCTAGCACATAATAAGTAATATCTATCTATCTATGTAGTCTAGTATCTATCTTAACTATCTTGTCACCATGGTCGGCTGGAAGAAAGTAAACAATTTTTGCTTCACTCTATCTTATCATGTAAAGTATTTATTACGTACTCTTAAATAAACTATGACTGCAAAGGTGTACTGATTGCTTATATCAAATGTTCATTAACAAGTAACATTATTATCATGCTTTGCCAATTTTGATGACATTGAGTGTATTAGCATCGCACGTCATACAACATACTTTGAAATTGTTATGTATTTTATAACGTACGTATTACGACGTCGTAAATGCTAAAGACCTCCATACATTCGGCTACATTTCAATTAGAATTACTCAACCGAGACCCAGCAGGTTCCATTCAAATCGAAGAAGTTACGAGCCATTGTCTAAAGTGTATTGGGTGTTACAAGCTATAGTGTACCCATGAGACGCCATGAGTTGACGTCATCCTACTTGACTATGGCAGGTGAATTCAAATTATCCATAAAGCATTGTAGATGATCACGAAATACTTTATTTCGTTAAGTGACTTGCACAACTTAACTTTTACAAAATCTTAAGAAAAACTCGCGATTTTCCCGCTAAAATATCTGTCAAATTTATTTTTAAAATTTCACAGATCGGGGTAGCATTATTTGAGCACATTTTTTCGCTATATTGATTGCCATACCGACTTTTATGAAACTTGATCAAATTATTTCGAAAAGTAGGTTATCATTTTACACAATTTTCTTGAATAACTGTCAAAACATCTTAATTTTTTCTCGACTTTCCCGCCAAAATACCTGTCAAACTTATTTTTAAATCGTCACAGTTTTTTTTTCCTAATGGCTCTCGCGAACCTCACAGCTTGGGGGTAGCGTTATTTGAGCACATTTTTCGCGATGCGTCACACCGGCCAGCATTGTGCATAGAGTTCGCGTTCACACGTGAGGTCGAGGGCCCGTTTCACTTATGTGCACTCCGAATGACTATAATCACCATAAACGCTGTCGCCGACGATAAAATCTCCTGGCGAGGTTGAGGCGATTATCCACGCTAGGAAAGCACCAGACATAAAACAAAGTTGAATGTTCGACTTCAGCGCGTTTTGGAATTAATTTGTTTTAAGTGCACATTTTTATATTACTAAATTGGAGGCAGCGCGTTTGCTATGAAATACACTCGGCATCAAATAAATCGCACCTCTCGCGACAAGCACTTATCAAACACATGCATCCCCACTTCCCACCAACATTGGTACCATTTGAAAGCCTAGTTCTAAACTTCATTTCATTAAAGGAAAGGTTTTTACCCCAAAAAATGTGTCTTTAGAAGGATCCAGTCACTTCTTCAAAAAATAGGTAGTTACGCTTAAGCAACTTTTATGGCTATAAAGCTGTTAAATTGGGATTAATCGCTATCCATCTGTTAAAAAGGACACGTAAGATCATTAGTTGGTCTTATAACCACAAAAATTGGTCTACTTGATCCCAGAGGTGAGCCCCAAGTGAGGCCTTTTTTTAAGTCACATTTATGGTACCTGTTAATTGTTTATAAAAAATTTAAATGTGTTTTTCTTTAAGTTTATTTATTGGGCTTTCAAATAACACCAATATTGTTGGGGCAACATGATTGTGTCAGAAGAAAATCTTTAAAGTTCGCGTCGCGGAAGGTGCGGTTTATTTGATGTTGAGTGTAGTTAAAAGTTCCATCGTCTATTTAAAAATAGAACGGTACTATTTTTTTTTTGCCAAATTGACCTGCATATTAATTTCCTTGTAGGAATTTCGACTTAAAACTCTGTCTATATTTTTGCATTTAGTAAATAAAATACAGTTCAATGCGCTTTCATAATAATGCATGTCGCTATCAACACGCGCGGAAGACTTGTCATGTCATAGGTACTCAAAGTCGAGTAAAAATAATGAACTGCTGTCTTTCCTGAACACTATAATCCGGGCCTTTTCAAGGCGAGAAGAGTAAATAGGCACTTACAGGTCTGATAAATGTACCATCCTAGACTGCATCTCACTTTACACCAGGTGCGATTGCTGTCATATACCTGCCTGGTCATGCATAAAAAAACTTTAAAAAAATAAAACCAATACCAAACATTTCATCAAAACGTAACTTCATGTGTAGCTATTTCATTCAAGTGACTTTAAAAGCCTCTGAAAATTCACAGAAATTTACCTGGATGATATGTTTATTTTTTCTAGCAATTTTGAGTTAGATACTAAGATGACTGACCTATTTTTGATATTGGCTATCTAACTGAACTATTTTTGATAAAATTTCGATTAAATAAATATACAAAAATAAATTCGAAAATTGAGAGCCTCCGATATAAAAAATCCGATAAAACACCTCCTTTTTGAAGTTGGTTTAAAAATATAATCTTCCTTCCCAGATGTAAACACACTCGAGAAGAGTTTAATCACCTAGGCTACATCTCACATCCTAATGATCACCTCCTTTTTGAAGTCGGCTAAAAATACAATCTTCCTTCCAGATGTGGACACCCACGAACCCGACGAGAAGTCCCTAATCACCTACATCTCGTCTCTATACGAGACGTTCCCGGAGCCTCCGCCCGTGCACCCGCTGTTCGACGCCGAGTCGCAGCGCCGCGCCGCCGCCTACACGGAGCAGGCGGCCGTACACCGTGCCTGGCTCCACGAGAAGTGCGCGCTTATGCAGGTGGGAATAGAGGCTAGAGTTGCCTGAAGTTTTTGGAACTGTTAGGACTGAAGTTGCTTGAACAAATCGGGATCCCTTAGCTCCTGTATGAGTCGCAGCGCCAGACGGAGCAGGCGGCCGTACACCGTGCCTGGCTCCACGAGAAGTGCGCGCTTATGCAGGTGGGAATAGAGGCTAGAGTTGCCTGAAGTTCTTGGGACATTTAGGACTGAAATTGCTTGAACAAATCGGGATCCCTTAGCTCCTGTATGAGTCGCAGCGCCAGACGGAGCAGGCGGCCGTACACCGTGCCTGGCTCCACGAGAAGTGTGCGCTTATGCAGGTGGGAATAGGGGCTAGAGTTGCGTGAAGTTTTTGGGACATTTAGAGTTGAAGTTGCTTGAACAAATCGAGCGCTCTAAACTCCTGTACTAGTGGCAGCGCCGCGCCGCCGCCTACACTGAGCAGGCGCCCGTACACCGTGCCTGGCTCCACGAGAAGTGCGCGCTTATGCAGGTGGGAATAGAGGCGAGAGTTGCCTGAAGTTTTTGGGACAGTTAGAGCTATAGTAGCTTGAAAAAATCGAGTGGCGAGTTGCAGCGCCGCGCCGCTGCCTACACGGAGCAGGCGGCCGTACACCGTGCCTGGCTCCACCAGAAGTGCGCGCTTATGCGGGTGGGAATAGAGGCTAGAGTTGCGTGAAGTTTTCGGGACATTTAGAGCTAAACTTGCTTGAACAAATCGAGCGCTCTAAACTCCTGTACTAGTCGCAGCGCCTACACGGAGCAGGCGGCCGTACACCGTGCCTGGCTCCACGAGAAGTGCGCGCTTATGCAGGTGGGAATAGGGGCTAGAGTTGCGTGAAGTTTTTGGGACATTTAGAGCTGAAGTTGCTTGAAAAAATCGAGCTTGCTGAACACCTGTACAAGTCGCAGCGCCTACACGGAGCAGGCGGCCGTACACCGTGCCTGGCTCCACCAGAAGTGCGCGCTTATGCGGGTGGGAATAGAGGCTAGAGTTGCGTGAAGTTCTTGAGACAGCTAGGACTAAAGTTGCTCGAACAACTAAGCACCTGTATGAGTCGCAGCGCCACGCGGAGCAGGCGGCCGTACACCGTGCCTGGCTCCACGAGAAGTGCGCGCTTATGCTGGTGGGAATAGAGTCTAGAGTTGCGTGAAGTTTTTGGGACATTTAGGACTGAAGTTGTTTGAATAAGTCTAGATAGTAACACACCTGGCTTCACGAGAACCACGTGCATGCAGGTGGTAATATAAGTCTTCGTAAAATCGAACAGGAGGTTGCCTTGTGCCTGTGTTTAGGAAAAGTACCCGCCTATGCATCAGCGGGTACTTTTCCTGTAATAACCCTGCTGTTGTGTATGTCCAGGTGCATATACATAACAGCAGAGCTTCTCCGTAACGCTATCAGTTTCGAGTCTATCGGTCACCGTCGCTCATACTGTTATCACGTTTTGCGCGAGAGGGATGGTAAAATTCTAAACTTCGGATAACGTTTTTCGGCGTAGCCCCTCTGTGTTCCTGTGTGTTTGCGAAAAGTAAGCAGCCGTAAGGCAGGCAGTTAAAACACCAAGGAGTCCAGTTCCCAAGACTTATCACCTCTTCATCGATACCACAGAATAAGTAATAGTACAGGTACAGAAGGATTACTCCGCAAGACCATTTAAATAAATGCGAGTCTTGCTACGACGCGATACAGTGGAATTCAGCTCGCACAGCACTACGTACCTGCAATTTTATTCACCTACAAGTTTTGTCTCTTTCTATCGCGTGCCTCTGAACTCTTCTTACGCTGTTAGGGTTGCTGTCTAGTGAAAAAATATTAATCTACTTATTTGTAATGAGGTACGTATGTAGGTAATTATGCATTCATTATGGAAAACCTTGGGAGAGGCCTTTGTCCAGCAGTGACGCATTCTGAGCAGTAGTCATAGTAGGTTAGGTTCCTATACTATCCTAAGAATTATTGATTACCCACTTGGCCAACATACCTTTCAGCATCTTTGGGAAGCGAAAAAAAAAGTTGAATCCGGTAGATTACTTTTCGAATTTAAACACCCGAACGCCGCACAATATTTCTTTCTCTTTATGTCCATTTTTAAATAATACTTCGATCATAGAATTATAATCATACTACAACGCACGCCAGCGTCCTGACGAGCGCGCGCGTGACACTCGACTGATATAATACCCGCCAGCGGGGCGCTTCGCTGTAGGTAATTATCGAATGTACCGTGCGGAGTGAGCCAGGCCTGTCGATACTAACTAATACATACCGTATCTGTTCCAGGACCGTGCTTTCCCGTCAACTTTGATCGAGATGAAGAAGCTGCTCAGTGAGAGCACGCGTTTCAGCAACGAGGAGGTGCCGCTGCGACAGCGGGAGAAGCAGAAGCTGTTCCACCACTACAGGGAACTGGAGGTAAGAGTCAAGAGTCACCATCATTTCGCTGAAGTATGCTGCATATGCTCCTTTGAAGGTTGGAGACTCTACACTCGAAGTTGTTGACAATTATGTATACCTGGGACAAACAGTCCAGTTAGGTAGGGCCAACTTCGAGAAAGAGGTCAATCGTCGAATCCAACTCGGCTGGGCAGCGTTCGGGAAGCTACGCAATATACTCACGTCCGAAATACCGCAGTGTCTCAAGACAAAAGTCTTCGAGCAGTGTGTGCTGCCAGTGTTGATTTATGGATCCGAAACGTGGTCGCTTACTATGGGCCTCATAAGAAGGCTCAAGGTCACCCAAAGGGCGATGGAGCGGGCCATGCTTGGAGTTTCCCTGCGTGATCGAATCAGAAATGAGGAGATCCGCAGGAGAACCAAAGTGACCGATATAGCTCGCAGAATTGCTAAAACCAAGTGGCAGTGGGCGGGGCACATAGCTCGTAGAGACGATGGCCGTTGGGGCAGTAAAGTTCTCGAGTGGCGACCACGGGCTGGAAGACGTAGCGTGGACAGGCCTCCTACTAGGTGGACCGACGATCTGGTAAAGGTCGCGGGAAGAGCCTGGATGCGGGCAGCGCAGGACCGTGCATTGTGGAAAACCTTGGAGGAGGCCTTTGTCCAACAGTGGACGTCATTTGGCTGAAACGAACGAACGATGCTGCATGTGAACAAGCAACGAGGAGGTGCCGCTGCGACAGCGGGAGAAGCAGAAGCTGTTCCACCACTACAGGGAACTGGAGGTAAGAGTCAAGAGTCACCATCATTTTCAAACACAGAGAGAAAGACATTATCGTTTTCCTCATCGCCATTTCGGCCACAGGACCTTCCACTGCTGAACATAGGTCTCCCCCAATGATTTCTAAAATGGTTGGTAGCGGCCTGCATCCAGCGCCTTCTTCAGATCAGTAAAACTATTTCTTGGAACTAACGTTTTTGCCCTTGTACCCTCGCGCTGTATACTGTTAACTCGTCACTTGTCCGCTATTCGCTTTCGCGTTGTTCAGTCAATGCTGAAGCGCAGTTCACTCGTTACTAATTTGTTGCGGGAACTTTTCACTGTTCACTTGTCGCCGTCGCAAGTGAATACACTTCTCACGAAAGCGCTGTTAACTCGTCGTAGGAGCGCTACTCACTTGTTGCTGTATCGCTTTTCACTAAACGATGAAGTGTTGGTTAATACACCTGCGTTTTTCTCTTCAGTCGCTGCTGGAGCGCTATTTGCTTATTACCGGAGCGCGGTTCTTTCGTCATTTGTTTCCTATGAAGTCATATGCGCGCTGTTTGCAGCATCTATGCAATGGCTTTCCATATCATACCACAATGTCCAGTTATGTAGTTCCCGACTTTATTTTACTACTTATAACTAAAGTTGTGAAGTTTCTCGTGTGATGTATTTGTAAGATTGTAACAATATCTCGTTATCTCCCCAGAAATACTTCGAGTCGGTGGGCGAGTGCGACATCGAGCCGACGCTGCGACCGGACGCGTTGGAACAGGCGTGGGCGCGACTGCTGATGGCGCAGCAGGAGCGCGAGCGCGACCTGGCCGACGAGATCCGCCGCCTGGAGCGCCTGCAGCGTCTGGCTGAGAAGCTGCACAGGTGAGGAGCACAGGACACAGCTGTGCTGACGCTGGAGCACAGGACACTAGCACTAGCAGCACTAGTAGCAGCAGCAGGAGCGCCTGGCTGAGAAGCTGCACAGGTGAGGAGCACAGGACACAGCTGTGCTGACGCTGGAGCACAGTACAGTAGCTGTGATGACGCTGGAGCATAGTACATTAGCATAGACAGTACTATAGGAGGAACAGGCGTGGGCGCGACTGCTGATGGCCCGGCAGGAGCGCGAGCGCGACCTGGCCGACGAGATCCGCCGCCTGGTCTGGCTGAGAAGCTGCACAGGTGAGGAGCACAGCAAATAGCTGTGCTGACGCTGGAGCACAGTACAGTACCTGTGATGACGCTGGAGCATAGTACATTAGCATAGAAAGTACTATAGGAGGAACAGGCGTGGGCGCGACTGCTGATGGCCCAGCAGGAGCGCGAGCGCGACCTGGCCGACGAGATCCACCGCCTGGTCTGGCTGAGAAGCTGCACAGGTGAGGAGCACAGCAAATAGCTGTGCTGACGCTGGAGCACAGTACAGTAGCTGTGATGACGCTGGAGCACAGGACATTAGCACAGACAGTACTACAGGAGGAACTGGCCTGGGCGCGACTGTTGATGGCGCAGCAGGAGCGCGAGCGCGACCNATTATCGAATGTACCGTGCGGAGTGAGCCAGGCCTGTCGATACTAACTAATACATACCGTATCTGTTCCAGGACCGTGCTTTCCCGTCAACTTTGATCGAGATGAAGAAGCTGCTCAGTGAGAGCACGCGTTTCCGCAACGAGGAGGTGCCGCTGCGACAGCGGGAGAAGCAGAAGCTGTTCCACCACTACAGGGAACTGGAGGTAAGAGTCAAGAGTCACCATCATTTCGCTGCACATAGCTCGTAGAGACGATGGCCGTTGGGGCAGAAAAGTTCTCGAGTGGCGACCACGGGCTGGAAGACGTAGCGTGGGCAGGCCTCCTACTAGGTGGACCGACGATCTGGTAAAGTTCGCGGGAAAAGTCTGGATGCGGGATGGACCGTGCATTGTGGAAAACCTTGGAGGAGGCCTTTGTCCAACAGTGGACGTCAACAGGGAGCTGGAGGTAAGAGTCAAGAGTCACCATCATTTCGCTGAACTATGCTGCATGTGAACAAGCAACGAGGAGGTGCCGCTGCGACAGCGGGAGAAGCAGAAGCTGTTCCACCACTACAGGGAACTGGAGGTAAGAGTCAAGAGTCACCATCATTTCGCTGAAGTATGCTGCATATGCTCCTTTGAAGGTTGGAGACTCTACACTCGAAGTTGTTGACAATTATGTATACCTGGGACAAACAGTCCAGTTAGGTAGGGCCAACTTCGAGAAAGAGGTCAATCGTCGAATCCAACTCGGCTGGGCAGCGTTCGGGAAGCTACGCAATATACTCACGTCCGAAATACCGCAGTGTCTCAAGACAAAAGTCTTCGAGCAGTGTGTGCTGCCAGTGTTGATTTATGGATCCGAAACGTGGTCGCTTACTATGGGCCTCATAAGAAGGCTCAAGGTCACCCAAAGGGCGATGGAGCGGGCCATGCTTGGAGTTTCCCTGCGTGATCGAATCAGAAATGAGGAGATCCGCAGGAGAACCAAAGTGACCGATATAGCTCGCAGAATTGCTAAAACCAAGTGGCAGTGGGCGGGGCACATAGCTCGTAGAGACGATGGCCGTTGGGGCAGTAAAGTTCTCGAGTGGCGACCACGGGCTGGAAGACGTAGCGTGGACAGGCCTCCTACTAGGTGGACCGACGATCTGGTAAAGGTCGCGGGAAGAGCCTGGATGCGGGCAGCGCAGGACCGTGCATTGTGGAAAACCTTGGAGGAGGCCTTTGTCCAACAGTGGACGTCATTTGGCTGAAACGAACGAACGATGCTGCATGTGAACAAGCAACGAGGAGGTGCCGCTGCGACAGCGGGAGAAGCAGAAGCTGTTCCACCACTACAGGGAACTGGAGGTAAGAGTCAAGAGTCACCATCATTTTCAAACACAGAGAGAAAGACATTATCGTTTTCCTCATCGCCATTTCGGCCACAGGACCTTCCACTGCTGAACATAGGTCTCCCCCAATGATTTCTAAAATGGTTGGTAGCGGCCTGCATCCAGCGCCTTCTTCAGATCAGTAAAACTATTTCTTGGAACTAACGTTTTTGCCCTTGTACCCTCGCGCTGTATACTGTTAACTCGTCACTTGTCCGCTATTCGCTTTCGCGTTGTTCAGTCAATGCTGAAGCGCAGTTCACTCGTTACTAATTTGTTGCGGGAACTTTTCACTGTTCACTTGTCGCCGTCGCAAGTGAATACACTTCTCACGAAAGCGCTGTTAACTCGTCGTAGGAGCGCTACTCACTTGTTGCTGTATCGCTTTTCACTAAACGATGAAGTGTTGGTTAATACACCTGCGTTTTTCTCTTCAGTCGCTGCTGGAGCGCTATTTGCTTATTACCGGAGCGCGGTTCTTTCGTCATTTGTTTCCTATGAAGTCATATGCGCGCTGTTTGCAGCATCTATGCAATGGCTTTCCATATCATACCACAATGTCCAGTTATGTAGTTCCCGACTTTATTTTACTACTTATAACTAAAGTTGTGAAGTTTCTCGTGTGATGTATTTGTAAGATTGTAACAATATCTCGTTATCTCCCCAGAAATACTTCGAGTCGGTGGGCGAGTGCGACATCGAGCCGACGCTGCGACCGGACGCGTTGGAACAGGCGTGGGCGCGACTGCTGATGGCGCAGCAGGAGCGCGAGCGCGACCTGGCCGACGAGATCCGCCGCCTGGAGCGCCTGCAGCGTCTGGCTGAGAAGCTGCACAGGTGAGGAGCACAGGACACAGCTGTGCTGACGCTGGAGCACAGGACACTAGCACTAGCAGCACTAGTAGCAGCAGCAGGAGCGCCTGGCTGAGAAGCTGCACAGGTGAGGAGCACAGGACACAGCTGTGCTGACGCTGGAGCACAGTACAGTAGCTGTGATGACGCTGGAGCATAGTACATTAGCATAGACAGTACTATAGGAGGAACAGGCGTGGGCGCGACTGCTGATGGCCCGGCAGGAGCGCGAGCGCGACCTGGCCGACGAGATCCGCCGCCTGGTCTGGCTGAGAAGCTGCACAGGTGAGGAGCACAGCAAATAGCTGTGCTGACGCTGGAGCACAGTACAGTACCTGTGATGACGCTGGAGCATAGTACATTAGCATAGAAAGTACTATAGGAGGAACAGGCGTGGGCGCGACTGCTGATGGCCCAGCAGGAGCGCGAGCGCGACCTGGCCGACGAGATCCACCGCCTGGTCTGGCTGAGAAGCTGCACAGGTGAGGAGCACAGCAAATAGCTGTGCTGACGCTGGAGCACAGTACAGTAGCTGTGATGACGCTGGAGCATAGTACATTAGCATAGAAAGTACTATAGGAGGAACAGGCGTGGGCGCGACTGCTGATGGCCCAGCAGGAGCGCGAGCGCGACCTGGCCGACGAGATCCGCCGCCTGGTCTGGCTGAGAAGCTGCACAGGTGAGGAGCACAGCAAATAGCTGTGCTGACGCTGGAGCACAGTACAGTACCTGTGATGACGCTGGAGCATAGTACATTAGCATAGAAAGTACTATAGGAGGAACAGGCGTGGGCGCGACTGCTGATGGCCCAGCAGGAGCGCGAGCGCGACCTGGCCGACGAGATCCACCGCCTGGTCTGGCTGAGAAGCTGCACAGGTGAGGAGCACAGCAAATAGCTGTGCTGACGCTGGAGCACAGTACAGTAGCTGTGATGACGCTGGAGCACAGGACATTAGCACAGACAGTACTACAGGAGGAACTGGCCTGGGCGCGACTGTTGATGGCGCAGCAGGAGCGCGAGCGCGACCTGGCCGACGAGATCCGCCGCCTGGAGCGCCTGCAGCGTCTGGCTGAGAAGCTGCACAGGTGAGGAGCACAGCATACTATCACTAGCAGCACTAACAGAAGCGTGAGCGTGACCTGCAGCGCCTCGCCGAGAAGTTGCACAGGCGAGCTGCTGCACACAATACAGTTGATGGTAACTCGGACCCTGCACAAGTCAGGAGCGCAGACACAGCACGATAGCTGGATCCACATGAGGCGATCTACCGCAATCTAATCGGGTTATCAGTCACATAGCTGACAGTAGAGTATGCTCTAGTGTCAGCTATTACTGTTGATAGTGACCTGCGACCTGCTAACTCAGTTCACTGGCTGTGCTGACGCTGGAGCACAGGACACTAGCACTAGCAGCACTAGTAGCAGCAGCAGGAGCGCCTGGCTGAGAAACTGCACAGGTGAGCTGGAGCATAGATACAGTACAATAGCTGGATCCACACCAGACGGTCTACCGCACTCTATTCGGGTTATTAGCCATAGCTGTCGCTAGAGCATAGGCTCAGCTGTTGATAGTGACCTGCGACCTGCTAGCACAGTATACTAGCTGTGCTGTCACCAGAGCACAGGACATTAGCACAGACAGTACTACAGGAGGAACTGGCCTGGGCGCGACTGCTGATGGCGCAGCAGGAGCGCGAGCGTGACTTGGCTGATGAGATCCGCCGCCTGGAGCGCCTGCAGCGCCTGGCTGAGAAGCTGCACAGGTGAGGAGCACAACAAACAGCTGTGCTGACGCTGGAGCACAGTATACTAGCTGTGTTGACGCTGTAGCACTAGCAGCACTAGTAGGAGCGCGAACGCGATCTGGACAATGAGACGCGTCGCCTGGAAAGCTTGCAGCGCCTGGCTGAGAAGCTGCACAGGTGAGGAGCACAGGACACAACTGTGCTGACGCTGGAGCACAGGATATTAGCACTAGCAGCACTAGTAGTAGCAGCAGGAGCGCCTGGCTGAGAAACTGCACAGGTGAGCTGGAGCATAGATACAGTACATTAGCTGGATCCACACCAGACGGTCTACCGCACTCTATTCGGGTTATCAGCCATAGCTGACGCTAGAGCATAGGCTCAGCTGTTGATAGTGACCTGCGACCTGCTAGCACAGTATACTAGCTGAGCTGACACTAGAGCATAGAACACTAGCTGTGCTGACGTTAGAACAGGCGTGGGCGCGACTGCTAATGGCGCAGCAGGAGCGTGAGCGCGACTTGGCCGACGAGATCCGTCGCCTGGAGCGCCTGCAGCGTCTGGCTGAGAAGCTGCACAGGTGAGGAGCACAGCAAACAGCTGTGCTGACGCTGGAGCACAGTACACTAGCTGTGTTGACGCTGTAGCACTAGCAGCACTAGTAGGAGCGCGAGCGCGACCTGGCCGACGAGATCCGCCGCCTGGAGCGCCTGCAACGTCTGGCTGAGAAGCTGCACAGGTGAGGAGCACAACAAACAGCTGTACTGACGCTGGAGCACAGTACAGTAGCTGTGATGACGCTGGAGCATAGTACATTAGCATAGACAGTACTATAGGAGGAACAGGCGTGGGCGCGACTGCTGATGGCGCAGCAGGAGCGCGAGCGCGACTTGGCCGACGAGATCCGTCGCCTGGAGCGCCTGCAGCGTCTGGCTGAGAAGCTGCACAGGTGAGGAGCACAACAAACAGCTGTACTGACGCTGGAGCACAGTACAGTAGCTGTGATGACGCTGGAGCATAGTACATTAGCATAGACAGTACTATAGGAGGAACAGGCGTGGGCGCGACTGCTGATGGCCCAGCAGGAGCGTGAGCGCGACCTGGCCGACGAGATCCGTCGCCTGGAGCGCCTGCAGCGCCTGGCTGAAAAGCTGCACAGGTGAGGAGCACAGGACACAGCTGTGCTAACACTGGAGCACCGGATACTAGCACTAGCAGCACTAGTAGTAGCAGCAGGAGCGCCTGGCTGAGAAGCTGCACAGGTGAGGAGCACAGCAAACAGCTGTGCTGACGCTAGAGCACAGTACAGTACCTGTGATGACGCTGGAGCACAGGACATTAGCACAGACAGTACTACAGGAGGAACTGGCCTGGGCGCGACTGCTGATGGCGCAACAGGAGCGCGAGCGCAACCTGGCCGACGAGATCCGTCGCTTGGAGCGCCTGCAGCGTCTGGCTGAGAAGCTGCACAGGTGAGGAGCACAGGACACAGCTGTGCTAACGCTGGAGCACCGGATACTAGCACTAGCAGCACTAGTAGTAGCAGCAGGAGCGCCTGGCTGAGAAGCTGCACAGGTGAGGAGCACAGGACACAGCTGTGCTGACGCTGGAGCACAGTACAGTAGCTGTGATGACGCTGGAGCATAGTACATTAGCATAGACAGTACTGCAGGAGGAACAGGCGTGGGCGCGACTGCTGATGGCGCAGCAGGAGCGCGAGCGCGACCTGGCCGACGAGATCCGCCGCCTGGAGCGCCTGCAGCGTCTGGCCGAGAAGCTACACAGGTGAGGAGCACAGCATACTAGCACTAGCAGCACTAGCAGAAGCGTGAGCGTGACCTGCAGCGCCTCGCCGAGAAGTTGCACACAGGCGAGCTGCTGCACACAATACAGTTTATGGTAACTCGGACCCTGCACAAGTCAGGAGCGCAGACACAGCACGATAGCTGGATCCACATGAGGCGATCTACCGTAATCTAATCGGGTTATCAGTCACATAGCTGACAGTAGAGTATGCTCTAGTGTCAGCTATTACTGATGATAGTGACCTGCGACCTGCTAACACAGTTCACTGGCTGTGCTGACGCTGTAGCACTAGCAGCACTAGTAGGAGCGCGAGCGCGACCTGGCCGACGAGATCCGTCGCCTGGAGCGCCTGCAGCGTCTGGCCGAGAAGCTGCACAGGTGAGGAGCACAGGACACAACTGTGCTGACGCTGGAGCACAGTACACTAGCTGTGTTGACGCTGTAGCACTAGCAGCACTAGTAGGAGCGCGAACGCGATCTGGACAATGAGACGCGTCGCCTGGAAAGCTTGCAGCGCCTGGCTGAAAAGCTGCACAATTGAGCTGGAGTATACGGGACTTCTCACCTCTCGTTTCCACCGCTGCAACTTCTGTGTAGCCAGGATAGATCCTGGCTGGAGATAGCTGTAGACAGCTTAACCGCCAATAAAAACCCAACCACTGAAGGGCATATTTGTCCCAGGGGAAAGTGAAGCAGGGAAGCTGCTGGACTATAGTGCAATGTGGAACCACGATTTTCTCCTCTTTTATTGTATCATCATGAATTTAGTCAAAAGTAAAACCGCTGGACTAAGACCTTTTCAAAGAATTTCCACAACTGCTTCTGCGCTACCCACGTTCAGATGCTTCCCATAACCTTCACCAGATCGGTCTTACGAGCTATGTGACTCTCCCACTGTCACTTAACTTTGTGTTTCCCGCAGTTCTGCGGGCTATGTCGCTTACTTTGGTTCTCCTACAGATCTCTTCATTTCTAACTCATGACGTTTATTACATGAAACACGATGTACCGTGTTTCATGTAATTGATATTATTATTATTGTATCAACAACTTACATAAACCACTCTTCACAGAGACATCAAGCAAACCGAGAGCGGTCTAGACAACGTTGAACGTCATATCGAAGCCGAGATACACCGCGTGGAGCGCGGAGTGCACCCGGCGGAAGCCAAGATGGCCGCCGAGCAGATCGAGCATGACCTACGCGCTATGGAGCACACGCTCCAGGAAATGTTCCAGGATGCGCAAGCGCTGAAGGAAGGGAGATACCCGCAGGCCAGCGAGTTGCACAGGAGGTAAGCTTTGATTAAATATAACAGTGGTTTTCATCCTTTTTCATGACACGACCGCCCTAGTATGAAAAAATATTTGGCGACCCCCCGACGGCTCGCTTTTTTTTCATGCATTTTATAATGTTGCAAAGATATGTTTGTAGGGACCGAATACTTCAATTCATACAACATCATCTGTCTTTATAACTAATGTTTTTTTACTGAGGTAGTTTTTACGACCTCTCGCGACCCCCCTGTAGAGGCGACCCACAGGTTGAAAAACACTGAAATATAATATTACGAGTATGTAATATCAATCGACATTATTTTATAATAAAGTAAAGTCATGAAGTCTTTATTGTGTATTGTAATCAATATCTAATCAATAATAATAAATCATTTGTAATTTGCATGCTAACTGACATTAGCTATATAGGAATGCACTTTTAATAAAATACCAACACCACTTATGTATTTACCCTATTTTTTGAGCAAATAAAGAATTTGAATTTGAATTAGCCAATAAGCCTAGTGTGTGCGCCACGATAAAAAATTTACACGAAAAGCCCATACCTTTGTCATCTCAAATCGTCGATAAGATTTTATCGTGGGGCGCATCCTAGCCCAGCAGGTTAATAGAAAACAGATATTAGTAGGCAATTATTTCATTTACCATCATATCTTGTGTCCACTCCAGAAGCACGGCCCTGTCTAATTTATTAGTGGTGATCATCAATTACAAAAGAAATTTTTCAAGTTTAAAACATTTTCACGCTTTTAGATAGTGAGTGTGCCATGATTTTTAAATGTCACCGTGAATTATGAATTTGAATTTATTATTATGTTTATTGGTAGTTTACAATCTCACGCGTTATATCATAAACTGACAAAGTTATCAATTTCACGTTTACATAAACAATGTCGCAGTTTGGGACAGCCTGTATAAAATACTGCATGCTTGACTTGACCCACGTCTAGTTCATTTCATAGTCCATCCATCAGTAAAAGAAGTTATATCGACGATATTATCTTCATTCCAGAGTGCAGCAAGTCCACGACCGCTGGCTAAATGCCCGTCAAGCCTTCACCGGGCGTCTGGTCCCAAGACTGTCATCAGTCCGCCTGCCAGTACAGCAGACCACCGTCCGTAGAGAGACCAGGACTGTACTGGAGACCAGGGTGTTGGATGCCGACCCTAGCTTCCACCAGCTTCATGAAGCCGCTAGGTGGTGCAAAGAACGACTGGTAAGCGAATTTTGACTTTTCTTACTTAATTATTAGGTAGCTATTAGATCGCCTGCCAGAGAAACAAACCACAATCAATAGAGACCGGGCAAATGACTACAGTCCGTAGAGAGACCAGGACTGTACTGAAGACCAGGGTCTTAGATGCCGACCCTAGCTTCCACCAGCTTCATGAAGCGGCTAGGTGGTGCAAAGAACGACTGGTAAGCGAATTTGGACTTTTCTTACTGAAGGTTAAGGTAGCTATTAGATTACTGCCATTTCAAGCCGATACAGGGCAATGACACGGGATTTTGAAATCTATGAATATTCCTAAAATAACATTATTCAAGGTGACTTATTGAATGTGCATCATTCGCCGGAGTATTTTTTGGTAGTTACCATTATAGACCGTATTTTGTAAGCAGTAGTGGTTCATCCTAGTAATGGACGAATCTGGTTGGAATTTGGTTTAAGGTCATAATCAACCAAAAATACATCTAATAATAACTATTTTTTATTGCAGAAAAAACTACACGAAGCGGACTACGGCTCCGATCTGCCATCAGTTCAACACGAGTTGGACAAACACCAGAGAGAACACAAACAAATTGACCAGTTCCATTCCAAGGTATGTACAATGTACAAGCTAAAGATTTATAATATTTGGTAGGAAATAATGTACAATATTCGGTGGGAAATACATTGGCTTTTGTATTGATTTTGACCGGATATTGTCTGCAAATAATGAGTTAACGATCCGGTTAAATATTTATGTATGCGTGAATATTTTACGACATTTGTTTTGACCATTTTTGTGCTTATTCAATTTGATTTTTGGCTTTGTAGGGACATAAGATCTGTATCTGTAAATATAAAATGGCGATAATTATTAGGTTTTTACTTCGTCTTTTTTCCCTACCAAGTAAACAAATAGACTAGGCTTGTATTGAATTCCAGAGTAGGTACACCTGCAATTTTATTAGTGAACAGGAATTCATACTTCTTTGTTGAAAACTATAGGTCTAACTTTTACCTCAGTTAGTGCCTGAAGTGCGGCACGGGAGGGTTTTTGAGATGCCAAACGTTAATGAGACTAGATTTTTTTTCAGATTTATATAGTTCCAAAATACTGAACTGTCCTATGCATGACATTGACAGTGGGGCGCTACCGTCAATACCCGATCGCTGGTTCCGATTTTTGCCATGTTGGAAACCATATTTCGATGAACGATGGTAGCGCCCCCCTGTCATTGAGTTTGGTGGGACAGTTCAGCGTGGGTCATCTATATGCTCTGTCACGTCCTAATATGTCAATGTTAACCCTCCCGTATCGCTCCCTTACCTCAGGCACTGACAGATTTAGGCCCAAGAATTATAGCACCTATCACAACTACATAAGGTATACAACCGTTTGTCTTCCAGGTCGAGCAGTGTGTCCACGCAAGATCCAGTTTCAGCGGCGAAGAGCTCGCGCTGTACAACCAGCATCTTAGCCAGCTGCAGAAGCTGTATGCTGAACTGCTGTCTACTAGTACTAAACGGTAAACAACTTTATATTTTGTCAGATAATTGCTACACTATTTTGAACCTTATGGAATTATTACTAAGTAAAGTAAATTATTACTCTGTTTAGGATGACATTGCAAGTGATAGTAAATAGCCAAAGATAAAACTGTAAGAAGCTACCTACTTATGGGGAAAATTTCAATGAAAGATCCGTTATTTTTGATCGAGTTGTTGAAGGAAAGAAAAGATAGTCATAATATTTTGTTCTCTCCTTTACTTTCCTGATCCTTTGCACCCTTTTTTTCCGTTTTACATTTTTACTTTCCTATACGTTTCCCTATCTTTACCTTACCTCGTCGTGGCTGACGCACAAGCCGTGCATGCCATCATAGAAAAAAAAAGTATAGAGCGCGCAGCAAGAGTTGATGCGACGAATACAAGCAAAGATTTGTATGTTTTTATATCTCAGTATACGCTCGTCGTGCGTGGTCTTACTGACAATCGCTTCGTTACTTTTAGTTATTATTCTGTGGTAGTACTTATTATTATTCTGTGCTTTTAGCAAGAGCGAGGTAGCTAGCGTATTCGATTTTGTAATATGGTTTGCGTGTTTCTGTACATGCAAATATTACGTCAGTGTGAGTACCTTGTTCGCCACAACTCTCGTTGGGCGTCCTATATTGATTATAGTCTAGTCTGCGAGCACGTAGAATTTTGTCGAATGACCCCAAGCTACCCATCCTTATCGCTCGCGCGTAATTATGTTGCTGTCGCGCTCGCACACTCACTGCGGGCGCCCGTCGCACAGTCGCGACAGCAATATAATTACGCGCGAGCGATAAGGATGGGTAGCTTGGGGTCATTGGTAGGGCATGCATTATTCGTTCGATATTGGTATTCGAATATTTCGAATACTAAAATTTATGGTATTCGAATACTTCGAATAAAACGATTTTTTCGAATACTGCTATTTTCAATATTAATGTAAATTAAAAGAAACACTTTTTTGTCTATAATCATTTTAATAAGGATCAATTTGCTTAATACAATCATCTAACTTCAATAACTACTTGAAAAAAAAAAAACGCTGCTATCGAAGGTATTCGAAAAAATACTGTTCAAACGAATGAAGCCCCACATCGGTGATCTGATACTTGAACACCAATTTGGTTTCAGGGAAAGACACTCCACAACTAAACAGGTCCACAGAACCATAAACATCGTCTCAGAAGCACTAGAAAAAAACCGATACTGCTCAGCTGCGTTCTTGGACATAAGTCAAGCCTTCGACAAGGTCTGGCATAAAGGGCTCTTGTACAAACTTAAACAGAACCTCCCATGTCCGTTCTACGAAATACTTAGGTCGTATTTGAAAGACAGATGCTTTGAAGTCAGATCTGGAGACTCTTGTTCTGCTCTATGCAACATAACGTCCGGTATACCCCAGGGTAGTGTCTTGGGGCCCGTGCTATACCTATTGTTTACCGCAGATCTGCCAACAACTGCAAATACATTCACAGGAACCTTTGCTGACGACAATGTCACAATGGCAACACACGACGATCCAGTGACGGCCTCACTCTCACTCAAATCTGTGCATGTTCATGTAACTTTCACTCTCAGAAGAAACTCCTGCCCACCGGTTAAACTTAATGGTATCCAAATACCTCAGGCTCAGCCGCTGAGGACGTTAGGTATCTGGGCTTGCACTTGGACCGCAGGCTAACCTGGAGAAAGCATATATGGACAAAGAGGAAGCACCTAGATGCCAAACTAAAAAACATGATGTGGCTTGTCAGAGTCCAGTCACAGCTGAACACCAGTAGCAAAATGATGATCTACAAAACTATCCTTAAACCTATCTGGACCTACGGGATACAGCTGTGGGGAAAAGCTGCCAACTCCAATCTCGACATAATCGAGCGCTTTTAGACAAAAGCCGTACGTTTGATTTACCAAATGCCGTGGTATATCAGCAACAGACTCATCTACCAGGACTTGCCATTGCCCACAGTCAGAGAGGAAATAAAGAGCCACACACTCCGCTACAAGGATAAACTTTCAAATCATCCAAACTCATCAGTCCAACAACTCATGACCATTGAAGGCTTCCTATTCAGCAGACTGCAAAGAGCTAGTGTCAGGAGCCTCCTTAGTAGATTCTAGGACAGTTGAGAAACCGGATGACCACTGAGGGCAACTGAGTCACTGGACTCCTGCTGATTTACTACAAACAAAAAATCTCAGTACCACAGAAGATTACTACACCATAGCACTAGCACCATTGGAAACCATATTGCCTGGCACTTTAACACCTTTTTCGCGAATATTGGTTGGCACTTGAATGGATATCTGCGATTGCGCGCACTTCTCCATTCATCTAACCTTACCGCTAACTTCTTGCCTGCAGTTTTAATAGTTTTAAGTTTAATTAAGTAGTTTGCGGTCAGATATTTTTACATTTTTTTAATAGGAAAGGCGTATTCGTATTGTTCGAAAAGACCGAATAATTATATAGATGCTATTCGAATAATAAATGTGGCGAATATCCGAATAATATGGATATCCGGATATCCGAATTGCATGCCCTAGTCATTGGACAAAATTCTACGTGCTCACAGACCGGGCTTTAGTCAAGTTATTTCACATATTGACGTGTAATTTCTTTCCACAGCATGTCCGACCTAGACGCTCTCCAAGATTTCTTACAATCCGCCACAGCCGAACTGAACTGGCTCAACGAGAAAGAACAAGTGGAGCTGTCCCGAGACTGGGCCGACCCACACATCAACCTGCCTGCAGTACAACACTATTATGAGGTGAGAATACATCACTAAAGCATACGTCATCGAACGTGAAAGTTGAATTAAGCTTCCTTCCTCAACAGAGGAATTCTTTCAGGTTCAGCCAAACCGACGCGATCACACGCGGTCAACCGGCAGCGATGGCGATCAGACTTACAAGCATTCATCGCCATCGCTGTACGCCGGCTGATCGCGTCGGTTTGGCTGAACCTTTAGGCACGCCTTAGGCGCGGTTTCCACCAAAGCGGAGCGGAGCAGATAAGTGTGTTGAATAACCAATCAGATTTCATTATTTCCACTTCTTGTCTCCGCTCCGCACAGTTCCGTTCCACGCCGCGCCGCCTCGGCTGTCAAATTCTATAGAAAAAAATTACAGCCTGACACTTCTTCGCTCCGCTTTGATGGAAACCAGGACATTTTAACCAACCACAGTATAAAGTCTTTAACTGGTTTAATCGAGTATTGTAGTATAGATAGTTTCATCCACGAAGACGCGCCCACCAATGTTTGATCGAGGGTCACGGGGTGCGGGGAGTTTGATCCGAGCAATCCGAGCGGCATTATTGTAGTGTGCGTGTACTCATGGATCATTTAGCGTGTACCGATAACACTCAAACATTAGCGGAAGAATGGTGGGGCGCGTCTTCGTGGATGAAACGATCTTTACTGACCTACCTAATACACGGTGTACAGTTTATGCTTAGGGTGAGGCTGGCTGCACTGAAAATTTTATATAAAAAATAAATATTGTTTATAAACGATACAAAGAACTGTAATGTGTATAGTTTTATGATGCATTTCATCATCATCAGTTGAATCATTCACCCATCATTGCTTTTTAATTAAGTCATTCTCACAAACCTTCGCATATTTTTAAGAAACATTTGATATAAAATTATGCAAAAAAGAACCTAAAATGCATTCAATTTGTATATTATAAAGATGGGTTCCTATCAAATAGCGAAAATCATGGAAGAGTCCTTTGCCCAGCAGAGGGACAATAAGCTAACGTAAAGTTAGTATTGGTGTTGCCAATCTTACTAATTTGACAATTCGATACTTACCACTCTATGACGTCACACGTCAGTGTTGCCAAGCGTCGCCTAAAAATACTACCCTTCCTAACAAGATGTTGTCGTAGCGTTTGCAATTGTTTTAATATTTTGTTATCTGTGCAAGCATTCATTTGGGGACGATAGCGAGGTTTGTTTTACACTATATTTTGTTATTCATTTGTTTTGCGTATTTATTTCTCGATGTTGCTTCATTGTTTTGTAGATGTCGCTTGGAACGGATGAAATTGAAAACGTGCTGGAAATTACAGGATGTTTTCTTTATGGATATGAAAGACGTTTGCATTAAATTTTTTAGTGTTTGTAAAATACATTAAACACAAAACTATATACTAGTCTAGCGATAATGTGTTTTATTTAATAGATCTTCAGAAAGATATTTTTTAAAATGCTGTGACGTTTTTACTTCCTTTTGGGTCCTCTAAACAAATGAGAGCTAAAATTACTCGCATGGCTCTGTATTCTGTCAACAAATCTTTCAAATTAAAGTTTACTGCAAAAGTTGGTCATATTCTCATGAGTATCCTAGCATGTCGATTTCAATTTCTCCCTATGCACTTTATTTATTCACTAATAAGGTCGCTTCTCCCACAGCAACTGATGTCTTCGCTGGAGAAACGCGAGCTCCAGTTCAGCAACGTAATCGACAGAGGAGAGGCCCTGATCGCTCAGCACCACCCGGCTACAAAGACGATTGAGTCACACTTGCAGGTAAAAACATAGCTGTGAACAACCATTTTTCTTGTGGAAAACTATCACGGTAGTGTTGCCATATAGTGTATTGATTTATTAATCGATAGTTCAAATGGTTATTTGAAGCTCAAACGATCGTCGAACGTGCTTGCTATGTGTCAGTCGATTTTTGGAGGACGGGGGAGAGGGATCTTAATCGATAGATGACCTCCACAGATTGGGGTTGACCAAAACCACACATCTAAAGACCCTCGCCCAAGGCGACTTTTGCAAATCATTGCAAATGCGACTAACGCACGTGTAGCGATGCTGTCGCTTGTTTACGAAACGCGCAACAAAAAGTCGCCATTGGCGAGGCCCGAGGGCCTTAAACCCTCCATTTTTCATTTGTAAATAAGAAAAGGTCTTGCTCCTTCATAGCCCTCTATATGCCTTATGATAAGTAAGCCATTTTTCTGTTTTAAAAAGAAATGGTGGAGATATATTCGCCAGAGCCTTATTAAAGTTTAAAGACTAACGCCTGTATTCATTTATATGAGGTCTCATAGTGCGCGTGAACGCACATGGTGACTGACACACGAACCAATCGCAGAGCTCTATTCAAAGCTGTGCGTTCGATTTGCTGCTTCACTTAGCAAGCATCGTTTGTTAAGCGATTGAGTCCCAGACGGCATTAATTAATGTCATAACAATTGATTATCTATTGTGTCTAGATTCGCGGAGCTTGAAGGATTAATACGGGCGTAAATGTCAGAGTCAATATTTCTGATCGGTTTAAACAATGTTTTCTACAGGTGATGCAGTCGCAATGGGCGTGGGTTCTCCAGCTGACGCTATGCCTCGAAACCCACCTCAAACACACCACGCAGTACCACAACTTCTTTGAGGGAGTGAAGGAGGCAGAGAAATGGATTCAGAAGTAAGTACGAACAACAAAAAGTCATTGAGTTCCTTCGAAGCTTTGGCTCAAATTATGGAACAAATTAATTTACTCTTTGAACGCCTAATTTGCAAAAGTAGTAAATAACTTTTATGACTGATCTCCATTTTATTTAACTTTCAGTTCTCATTTAGATAAGTGTGTTATCTTAAAACTAGCTTTTGCCTGCTGCTTCCTTCACCCGCGTGAAGTTTAGTTTGTCACAGATCGTCATAAATTATAGCCTATATTATGTTATTCTGGGTTTTAAACATTAATACTGTAAAGTTTTGTCAAAATCCGTTCCGTAGTTTTTGCGTGAAAGAGTAACAAACGTCCAGATATCCTAACTTTTGCATTTATTGGCTCCGTGCACGATTACAGCGCCAACTAGCGTCCACAACTTTGTGGGCTCTGTCACATTGACATTTAGGTCGTATATTTGTGAAAAAATATCGAAATGAAAAAATAACAAATATTTTCAACTAATAAATTGTTGTGATACCACGATTTGGGTGGAAAAAAGGTTTTGAAATCATTTTGGTCATTCAAATCAAATGAGGTAAGTCCAAAAAGTGTGTTTAATTTTGATTGTGTCAGGGTTTGTTTACTTCATTTATAGTTGTAGTTTTACAGTAAAACAAAAAGAAAAAGCTACTTTAACGGTTTCATTATATAACAGTAAATATATTTAAATGTTTCTGTATCGCTAGTAATAAATTAAATATCGTTTTCAGATCGAAATGAGTATCGTTTTGAAGACCGGGTTTGTGAGAGTTACAATATCAAATTCCAACCACAAACCGTATTTAAAGGAAAGTTGTTGGTATTGGCTGGACAAGTCCGAGATGTAGAAGAATTAAGAACAAAACAAGGGCAGAGTTCAATAATTCACGCTCTCATCATAAGGCAAACATCTGTGCACAACAACTACTGTGACTCATTTTTGTACTACCACGTTGTATAGTTTAGTTATTTCCAAATTGTAAACGGCTATTAAAACAGCCCTATCGAAATACAGTCCACTCTTTTATTTAAGTTCCCAGTAGGACCCTTTTCATGCGATTAATTAATGATATTAAAATGTATTATGTAGAATCGCTTTGCCATTGACAGATACATCTGATGACAGAGCTAACATTATTTCTACTTTTGACCACCATGAGCGCTGCGATAGATTATGTCCCCCCCACCTAGTACTTCGCACCCAGCGAATAATATTAGTAGGATACATCTACTCATATTTATGTTTGTTTGTTAACAAAGTGTTTACGCTAAACTACTTTATCGAGAAAAGTAAATTAATTTTGAATTCACAGATAACAAAATAGTTTGAAAAATATTCTTTTAAACATTAAAATAATCATCCGTAAAAAATTAGTCCATTAGGTTCTTTCCCCACCCTTTAAATCATTTCTTTCTGCAACAAAAATACAAACGCTAATCTCAATTCTTCTTTCAGGCGCGAAGAAGCCCTGAACACCACCTTCTCCCAATCCGAATTCACGCTGGACCAAGGAGAACGCCTCCTCAAAGGCATGCAGGACCTTCGTGAAGAACTAAATGCCCATGGCAGCGCCGTCTCGCGGCTGGTAGAAGAAGCTCAAGAAATCAGGCCCGTGAAGCAACGGCGCTCGCCGGTCACCCGACCACTGAGAGCCGAGACCGTGTGCGCTTATAAGCATGCCAATGTGAGTATGTAGTTACGGTAATTGGTGATATATGGCGCTATTTATGTTCCCCAATCCGAGTCTCCTGTGTGAAGTCTCGCGGCTGGTAGAGGAAGCTCAGATGAGGCCGGTGAAGCTCAGATCAAGCTGGTGAAGCAACGACGCTTGCCTGTGACCCGGCCGCTGAGAGCAGAGACTGTGTGCGCTTATAAGCATGCCAATGTGAGTATGTAGTTTCGATTTTAGACAATTGATAGCGTTATTTAATCCGAGTTTATAAAAGCATGCTAATGTAGTTACGGTTTTGGGCGATAGATGGCGCTGTTGCTGAATGTCTCTAATCGATACCGATTGTAGGGATATTTGACAGACACTGTTTCAGTGGACATACTGTGAATTTTGCCCCTAGACGGTCCTAGCGAAAAGCTGTTATTTCACTATTTTTTTAATACAAGTTACTGTTTCTTCCACTGTGTGTTTCATCAGGGCTTTGAATAAGGTCCTTTTCGTATTCCATTATAATAATATCGTTATGTCGGTACTTCTAGAGAAACAGCGATAACTCGATTATCTAGCAGTTGCTATAAGACTTAATAATGTTCTCTACAGATGGCCATAAAGAAAAGCTATCTAACGTTTTGTGGGAGACGAATCGAACGTCTCCTCACATTAATTTATCGGAGGTAGATGTATATCAAATTATAAGCGGCATTGAATAAACAAATATATTTACAATGACTATATTACAAAAACATAAAAGAAATAAAATTATCAATCCGAATAAAATTAAAAGAGCGAGTCGCAGTGAAGTGTCAAAGGCGACAATATAAAACCTTCTTTTTTATTGCCGGCCAGGAGCGCGCGGGACGGAGCGCCGCGGGTGGACCAATGAGTTTTCATTGTGGCGTACATAGATCACCACAGTTTCTTCACGAATATCCCTCTAACTATTCGTTTCGTCACCAGGTGGCCATAGAGAAAGGCTCGTCAGTCACCGTGACGGACAACTCGGGCCGCGTGCGTTGGCGCGTGCGCCTCGGCGGCGCCGGCACGGAGCTCCAGCTGCCGGGCGCGGTGCTGGCGCTGCCGCCGCCTTGCCAGGAGGCCGTCGACGCTGCTGCTCGGCTGCGCAACGCTTACGATAGGGTAAGAAACTGTACTAATGTTAGGGCATACTCACAACACTAGCATGCTTTGAACGACGCCAGCACTACGTAAATCCGAGGCGACATTCAGCATGTAGCATTGGTAGCTCGACGCTGCGTAAGCGCTGGCAAGAGGACGACCCATGAGAGACGCTAGTGTAGGTCCCTTATAATACGACGAATGCGTTTCGTCGTAATGCTGCCGCTCGTCTGCGTAACACTTATGATAGGGTAAGGGGAAATGACGACTATCTGATGGACACAGTCGCTCATGCTGGAATCTCCCTTTGTGTGAGAGGGATAGCAACATTCGAAACTGCCGCGTGCCTACGCAAAACTTACGATAGCTATAGGCTACTCGTATATCGGATACGCTGTTTACGTAGTATCGGGTCTACTTGTCACCGTCGCTCATGCTGGTTTCTTACTTTGTGTGAGAGGTATAGCATTGTGTGAGAGGCATAGCATTGTGTGAGAGGCATAGCATTGTGTGAGAGGGATAGCATTGTGTGAGAGGGATAGCATTGTGTGAGAGGGATAGCAACATTCGAAACTGTCGCGACACTTATGATAGGGTAAGGAGAAATGAGAACTATCTGATGGGCACCGTCGCTCATACTAGCGTCACTCTTTGCGTGAGAGAGATAGCAACATTTGAAACTGTCGCACGCCTGCGCAATGCTTATAATAGGGTAAGGATAAATACTAAGCCAAAGGAGTCTACTTCTTGATAAAGGCCTCCTCCAAGGTTTTCTACCACGACCAGTCCTGTGGCCGTAGACAAAGGCTCGTCAGTCACCGTGACGGACAACTCGGGCCGCGTGCGCTGGCGCGTGCGCCTCGGCGGCGCCGGCACGGAGCTCCAGCTGCCGGGCGCGGTGCTGGCGCTGCCGCCGCCTTGCCAGGAGGCCGTCGACGCTGCGGCGCGGCTGCGCAACGCTTACGATAGGGTAAGGAGAAATGATAACTATCTAATGGATACCGTCGCTCATACTAATTATATTGCTGTCGCGACTGTGCGACGGGCGCCCTCAGTGAGTGTGCGAGCGCAACAGAAACATAATTACGCGCGAACGATAAGGATGGGTAGCTTGGGGTCATTGGACAAAATTCTACGTGCTCGCAGACCAGACTCTTTTTGCGTGAGAGGGATAGCGATATTGTAAACTACCGTGACACAGCCGCGCGCTTGCGCAAATCTTACGATAGGGTAAGAACTGCAGGACTAAACTTCAAAACGCTGTTTACGTAGTTTTGGGTCTACCTGTCACCATCGCTCACGCTGGCATCTCGTTTTGCGTGAGAGGGATAGCAACATTAGAAACTGCCGCACGCCTGCGCAATGCTTATGATAGGGTAAGGATAAATACTTAGGAGGAGTTAAAAGGAGTCTACTGCTGGATAAAGACTTCCTCCAAGGTTTTCTACCACACGACCAGTCCTGTGGCCATAGACAAAAGCTCGTCAGTCACCGTGACCGACAACTCAGCACCGGCACGGAGCTCCAGCTGCCGGGCGCGGTGCTGGCGCTGCCGCCGCCTTGCCAGGAGGCCGTCGACGCTGCGGCTCGGCTGCGCAACGCTTACGATAGGGTAAGTAGCTACTAATGTTAGGCCACTCTCACAGTAGCGTCTTATGAACGTCGTCGCCTCGCGATAACGCGACGCCAGCACATTCAACATTAGCATATAGTGCTATTGCTGCCGCCGCTTTGTCAAGAGGCTGTGGATGCTGCGGCTCGGCTACGCAACGCTTACGATAGAGTAAGTTCGTTTCAGCCAAATGACGTCACTGCTATAGTCTGGTCTGTGAGCACGTAGAATTTTGTCCAATGACCCCAAGCTACCCATCCTTATCGCCGCGTAATTATGTTGCTGTCGCGCTCGCACACTCACTGCGGGCGCCCGTCGCACAGTCGCGACAGCAATATAATTATGCGGTGCTGGAGCTGCCGCCGCCTTGCCAGGAGGCCGTCGACGCTGCTGCTCGGCTGCGCAACGCTTACGATAGGGTAAGGGGAAATGACGACTATCTGATGGACACCGTCTCTCATACTGGCAACTCTCTTTGAGAGGGATAGCAATATTGTAAACTACCGCGACACTGCCGCGCGCCTTCACAAAACTTACGATAGGCTACTCGGATACCCTGTATACGTAGTGATCTACCTATCACAGTCGCTCATGCTGACATCTTGCTTTGTGTGAGAGGCATAGCATTGTGTGAGAGGGATAGCAACATTCGAAACTGTCGCGACACTGCTACGCGTCTGCGCAACGCTTATGATAGGGTAAGGAGAAATGACGACTATCTAATGGATACCGTCGCTCATACTAAAGCCCGGTCTGTGAACACGTAGAATATTGTCCAATGACCCCAAGCTACCCATCCTTATCGCTCGCGCGGGTCATTGGACAAAATTCTACGTGCTCACGGACCAGACCATAGCAACTCTCTTTGCGTGAGAGGGATTGCAACATTCGAAACTGTTGCGACACTGCCGCGAGCCTGCGCAAATCTTACGATTGGGTAAGAATTATAGGGCTACTCCGAAACGCTGTTTACGAGTTTCTGGTCTATCTGTCACCGTCGGTTATGCTGGTATCTTGCTTAGCGTGAGAGGGATAGCAACATTCGAAACTGTCGCACGCCTGCGCAATGCTTATGATAGGGTAAGGATAAATACTAAGCCAAAGGAGTCCAATGCTGGACAAGGACATAGTTACTACAAGTGATTTCCACAACCATCGGACCTGTGGCCATTGAGAAAGGCTCGTCAGTCACCGTGACGGCCAACTCTGGCCGCGTGCGCTGGCGCGTGCGCCTCGGCGGCGCCGGCACGGAGCTCCAGCTGCCGGGCGCGGTGCTGGCGCTGCCGCCGCCTTGCCAGGAGGCCGTCGACGCTGCTGCTCGGCTGCGCAACGCTTACGATAGAGTAAGTAGCTACTAATGTTAGGTCACTCTCACAGTAGCGTCTTTTGAACGTCGTCGCCTCGCGATAACGCGACGCCAGCACATTCAACATTAGCATATAGTGCTGGCGCTGCCGCCGCTTTGTCAAGAGGCTGTGGATGCTGCGGCTCGGCTACGCAACGCTTACGATAGGGTAAGTTCGTTTCAGCCAAATGACGTCACTGCTATACTCGTAGTATGGTCTGTGAGCACGTAGAATGTTGTCCAATGACCCCAAGCTACCCATCCTTATCACTCGCGCGTAATTATGTTGCTGTCGCGCTCGCACACTCACTGTGGGCGCCCGTCGCACAGTCGCGAGAGCAATATAATTATGCGGTGCTGGAGCTGCCGCCGCCTTGCCAGGAGGCCGTCGACGCTGCGGCGCGGCTACGCAACGCTTATGATAGGGTAAGTTTCTACGTTCGTTGATTGCAGCCAAAAGACATCACTGCTGGATAAAAAACTCCCCCAATAGTAGGGAATTTAGTGCAATGATTTGTATGGAGACCCCTCCACTTTGGTATAGAAGGCTCATTTTTGCACCAGTTGTTCTTTGGGTGCTCCTGAGTAGATTTCCGTCGGTAGACATCGGGAGCCCCCCCTGTGGTAGCAGGGGGAGGGGGGGCAAGTTTCCTTCTGCCGAGCTTCATTTTAAGGCCCATATCTTCAAAACTATGAGTATTAGGGCAAGTGTGGTGTCATTTTCGGATAATTAAAGGATGGCGAATTCATTTCTAGAACAAACTTTTTGCCTTTTCATACAAAAAAATAGAAATATGGAGTAAAATTCACAAAAACCAAAAAGTATCTTTTTAAATAAACGTCGTTTACTTTTAAACCATTGGAGATAATCTAATAAAAAAAATATGTACTGAAAGCTACATTTATCAGGATTATAAATATATACCATTGTATGGTACTTTTTTTGAAAAAAGTAGGTGAAAAAAATCTTTCTTCAGGACACAGCGGGCGAATTTTAATGCGCGTCGGAAAAAAATCTTTATTTTATCCATGAATTCATACTATTTGGTTCATAAGCAAGTAAAGATTATTATTTTAGAATTTATTTAGAGTTCCTGGCACATCATGCTACCATGATTTGTATTTTTTCTTCAATTAATTTTGAACTCTATGTGTAAGACATAAGGTTGAAAATAGTTTAAATGCATTGTATTATTGAAAATATCATAAGAAGAAAGCACTAAATAAAGAACTTGAATTTGTCTAAACGTCTAATGATTATTAATATTATTTTAATTAACATTTTTATTTCTACATATACTATTGTACCAGTGATAACGGAAAGGTAAGTTTGAGGAAAGTGAGGATTGATATTATCATAGTACGGGAGATTATTTTTAACACAAAGGCTACGGCTGTGACCATTATAGTTGTTTTTTCAGACAGCACCAGCTTCTGCACTACGTCTTGCACTTACATCTCACCATTTCCAGGCAAGCTTCGGCAGCTACGGGCAAATGGTCCATGTAGGCTCCATGTTGCTATCGATTCTGGTCCACCCCCAACCAGTCGGGTAAAGTGAAGACTGAGTCGGTTGCTTGCAACTGACCCTATACGCGAACCCCTTGAACCAACTAAATTTTAAATAATTTGAAAAAATCATAAGGACATAATTACTGCCCTTGATATACTGATACAAAACTGCCTAGGTTGGTGGGCACTTACAGCACTCGTTCATAGTCAAGCATGTAGTAATAAACACAGTGAACGTTTAAGGAGGTTTGCTACAGTATTTCAAGCTGAATTCTACGCTATAATTATGTGTGCACTAAAAACAGGGGTGTAAGAAACGCAATAATTACACCCTTAGCTTACAGCTAGGCAGCACTCAAACAAAGCCATCGCCTCAGTGAAGGTTGAGTCTAGAATTAAGTATTCTAGATGCAATCTTAAAGATGAACAAACTCTGGAGGCATGATTAAGTGTCCCTAATGTGGGATACCTGGACATACACGGACAGTCTAGCGAGACAAGGGTCAGAGACGATACCTATTGGGTCAGAACTGATAGTAGTACCTTTATCTA